TATATAAGGCTATGTGAAATTCAATGGAAACGTCAGCTCAACTCAATATCATTGTGAGAAAATTCTTCTTCTACCAGTCCTTCATCGCCTTAAACGAAATTGGGTGAATACACCTCATATTACTTATTTACTGGTAGTCTCGAAAACAATACTTAAATCGAAAAATAAAGTAAAGGTAGTCGATTGTTATAGCATATATACGTTTGCTTCATCGACAATTCCACCAAAAGAATATGATATGGCAAAAAGGCCTGGCCTTTCATGAAAATTAACATCTGTCCTGTGACCCAAAGGCACTCGTGGCAATGTGGTCGAGTGGTTGACGTGTCAAGCTCCCATTGTGCACTGTCACGGTTCAATTCCCGCTGAAGGTGTTGATAAGACCGATACGAGATCGAAACTGCAGTCCACGGGTGCCTGGATGAGAACAACTTTTAGGAAAGCAAGGTTCTGTGAAATTCAATGGAAACATCAGCTCAACTCATATCATTGTTCTATCATATCATTCCTATACCAGTCCTTCATCAGCTTAAACGAAATTGGCTGAATACACCTCATATATATAAGAAATAAGATAGGGCCTGACAGCCTTCGTGACTTAGTGTTTGTTGACGTGAGACTTTCGCAAGAATGAATTCCAGCCATGATGATGTCTATCATATGATGGACGAAAGTTCAGTCCGTTTTCAACCGGAACGAGGAAAGATGCCTGTGGACTACGTAAACATGAGCACCGTATTAATGTTAAACGGCTGCAGAATAGGTACCAAGCGTTGTCTTCTTATGAGATCGGCATTCGAATCACTTCATCATGCATTTGCATACGAACTGAAAGTCCCTCTAACAATGGTGTCTTAGGAGATTGATCGAAACTCAGTTACTCTTCGTATCTATAAATAGTTATTGGGAATGACGACTTGGTCCCACATGTCTACATTGTCGGAAGATATAGTTTGCCGTAAGGCAAGTCGGCCACTATCAAAAAAGAGCATACAACTACCGACAGTTATCACCACAATATAGTTTAAAAAGAAAAAAAAGTTCAATTATGGGCATGTAAGCCCGACAGATACAGCCTATCCGAATTCAGGCTTAGACAGAAATTTCAGTATCAATCTATTTGACAAATACTAGTCTGAAAATTAATTGGCTTGATCAGAGCCGCTATATTTATGCAGTATTCACAACTTGTGGCTTTGTATTCAAGAAGAGCAAACAAATAATTAGGATGAGGGGAGCAACATGATATTTCTGGGGTCTATGTGAAATTTCATAGGCCCAACACCATAACCGAGCCCATTAGACGAAGTGAATAAGGGGTCCTATAATCTAAAATGAGTGAAATAAATTGGTTGAATCGACGCAAAAGCATGTTGAGGCTGATACAGAACAAAAATTATAGTTTTGCGAAGGCTGGGTAACTAAGCGTTGGATGCACTAGAAAGAAGAATATTAGTGAACTAGCCAACCGGGGAGAAAATGAGCAAATATAGTGTCCGCACACTTTAAGTTTAGATCTAACTTAACCTCAAAATATGAGATAAAACGGCCCCGAATGGGATTTTAGCTCGATTCCATGCAGGATGAAGGACTTTTCTAGCAAACTGCATGATATTCGGAATTAAGTGGAGCTCGATACTAACGTAGTCTTTGGCAATTCAGTGGTTGGAAATGAAAACGTGATAATTATCCGGTAATCTCGTTTCGGGTTATAAAACAGACATGAAATTTTACGTAGAATTCGGTGGTAATAAAATAAAAACTACGTAAAGCGGTTGTATCGGAAAGATGAGACATAAAATAGTCATTGTATAATAGAAAAGGATCGTTAAGAATGGAGTAAATCCAAAGCGGTATAAATGATCATCAGTTTCAGAGAAATTAACAAAGTTTGAGGTGAAGGTTCCCCATAAAGTTGTTGCGATAAGTGGTTTATGAGTAATAAGCAACGAGGAATTAGGAACCAGAGGTAAAGCAAGAGTATTGTAAAAACATGGGTGAAAATAAGTCACGTTAACCTAGAAAGGGATATAGCTTTTCTCTTTAAAATGGAACCACATACTATAAGACAGAGCCTCTAGCTGAGTTTTAGTTACCATAGAAGTGATACTTGCATTTTTCCACAATTATATAAGAAGGCTCCTCGATACCAGTAAACTTTGCTTAACGTTGTCTCCCAAAAGATAGTCTCATCTAGGATAGACTAAAGTCTCGACTTTGCCTGGGTCTCATCCGCACCATCAATGGGGAACCGATTAGCATAGTACATGATTTCGACATGTTAGCAGTACACTACGTCGTCATGGATGCCCACAGGAAAGAAGCCGATGCACTCAAAAGAATCGTATAAAAAAATCAGCATTAAAAACACTCTAAACGCCATATAAAATTATAATTAAAACAGATATCATCAGGACAGAGCACGAGTTACAATAAAAGTAGTGTAGTCGATTGTAATAGCAAAATATAAGTTGGCTGAATCGAAAATCCCACTACAAAAATTAGATATAGATGCCAGGCTTGACTTGAAAATCAAGCCTGTCCTGTGACCTACAGGCACTCGTAAAAACGCGGCTTAGTGGAAGATTATAAAAATATACACTGCGCTACGCGAGATCGATTCCCCTTGAGGGTGCTGGTGAGACACGCAAGGTCGAAAGTGTAGTCCACCCTGAATAGGGAATACTTTTGGGGGACAAAGCTAAGTGGGGTTTACTCATATCATTGGGACAGTCTATCAGTCCTTAAGTGTGCTAGGAATAGTGAAACTCTTATTCGAGATTTACTGGCAGTTTCGAAATCTACTTACTCTTAACCATGAATTGGGAAATAAAGGAGAAACAAGGGAAAAAACAGTGAAACAAATTGAATTATCTTCATCATGTTAAGTTTTTGTCATGAAAAACACAAAGCTGAGCAAAAAATATAATGAAATGAATACATTTGAGTATAGTCAAGGAAACAGCCGACAATGCGAGTTTAATTGTTAGTTTTTTTGTAAGACAAGCCTGCAGAAAGAACTAACATTAGGCCAAGCTCAGTCTCGGCAATAGATCGGCCTTTAGATATCCCCATCAAAATCCGGATCTCAGTAGAGCAGAAACCACAAGAATAATAAAACAATAAGGAAAAAACACAAAGAGAAATAAAAACAACCAATGCCAAAAGAGGTGAGGGCTGTTATAAAAGATACAGGCTTTGCTGATGGCCAGCATCAATCAAGGAAGCCTGGACTGAATAACCAATCAAAAATATGAAATTAAAATAACAAGAGAGAAGAGCGTTTAGTTTAGAGAACAGAAACTAACGAAATCAAGGCTTTTTTTTTTACAAAAAAAGCCTTATTTTGCAATTTTACAGGAAAGATAAGGAAGAGAGAATATAGGGAGGTTAAATTAGCTAAATAAGAATAAAATCAAAATAAATATGGCTGAGTATAAGTAATACTTAGCAGAAAGCACAGAGATTCGAATCTGGAAACGCAATAAACCTATTCCTAATTCTTAGTAAAATAAACTCATAAAGTAAAGTTTAAAAACTTGTCGAATAGAATGGAAAGATTTCAAGTATGCATGCATTAAAAAAAAGCTGCTTGAAGGCAGAAATCCTGTGAAAAACGCGAGTATTCAATACTCAAAAGTACATCTAAAAAGGCAGAATAGCAGATCAAAATTGACACGAAATGCTTGGACTCCGTAAAGCGTCATCTGTAGACATAGTTTAACACTAAAAGACAGTAAGATCGAAAGACTAAATAGTTAGGATTATAAGAGAGGACTAAAAAGTAATGATTTTTAATTTTAAAGGGACACAATTCGAGAGTAATTCGTAGAATGGTCCAGTTCGCAGGTTTATAATTATCAGGTTGGACTTGACTGATGGATAAATGTGCAAAGATTTATACATAAAATCTATGTTAGATGTTAAGCGTCAGATCTCCAAAGGGACACATGTATGCAGAGCATTAAAACTATACAATAAATAAAAACGCTTTGGTATAAGGAATGGAATGAAAAAAATTGAAGTCACTTCATAATGGATGACTAAAGTCAGCAAATTTATCCAGATATAAAAGTGTTTTACAGATACCCCTAGATAAGGTTGAGTTTAAGATTATTCTCATTTAGTTCGTAAATGTAAAATCAAGATATTCGTTAACCAATCTTATCAGAAGCTGAAAGAAGATAGTAGATAGTATGCCGAGCCTTTATTCTAAAGATTTATCATTGATATCGCAGCACTCTGTCCCCATAAAACCATGCTGAACATTATGCTGTTCGGCGTCATACGAATTCAAAGAAATTCATCTTTACAAAGGTGCATAGGTAAGAAGACTCAAGTCAAATCATATAGTTTTGAATAAAGTTGGTGTGTGAACTTGGCAGTATGATGTTGCCTGGCAGTTGAAACGTCTGACAACAAAATAAAACAAAGCATAGTTTCAACAGGGACGGAGATCAATGTGTCGATAAATGTGGCGACGTCAAAAATGAAGTATTGGAACAGTGTCAATAGGGCAACAATCTTCCTCATCTCCTGATTGGGCCAACCAACGAATGTCTTGCTTGCACATTTTATAACAAAATGAAAATTATTATAAAAAACAGCGCATTCGTGCCTATAAGTCTCGCGTCGTGCAACGACATAGGATTCACTAAGCACTGTTAACTTTGATTTCGACGCCTAATTCTAGAGACAACCTGGCCACGTCAACATAAGTATTCCTAAAGAAACACTTCGATGTAGGGTTGGAGTTGAGCAACCAAGGCAAAAGGCCAAATCGTAAGCCGAGGGCCAGCCAGATGGGCAAGCGAGCCAGGGAGATGCCACCAGCGTCTGTGGACAAGAAAACAGGCCACACGACGATGAAAAGGACCGGAGGCAAGAGGAAGCCAGTCGCATGAAGAAGACGAGTGAGACGACTGGAACGACACTTGAGTGCTTGGCCAGTAGACTTTCGATGTGCTTTGGGTGTCGACGTCTGTGGGACTAGCCAGTGCGGGCCGAGACGATGTGAGGAAGAGATTAGGAGAAACAACACTGCATGTTGGAGAAGACGATGCCGGCGGGTGAGTTGACTACTCAACAAAATCATGAGATCAGAGGTTTTGAGGCCGGGAGTAAGCAGGGCCTCCGACCAAGGAGTGCGGAGAAGATTGGACCAGATGAATGAATAATCAGAACTGATAAAAAGGAAATAGAGGAAGGCCATAAAAATGAGGGCGTACGAGTAAGGTGAGATCAAGTAAACTGATTATTTTCGATTAAGAGTTGCTGCTATGTGTATACACATGCGGTAGCAATAATTGCAGCTTTTGATAAGAATTATGATTTAGTCTCGAATGGTGACAAAATTCACTTTACGGAAGAGGATCAGATAGTTGATATAAAAAGTACCAAGGTCTGTGAGTTACTAGTGTCGATGTGTCTGTGATGAGGTTCTTGAACTAAAATATAC